CTTTGTCTCCTTTTTCAACAAAAATGATATCAAGCATGAACGAAAAAACGGGACAAGGAAGCAAGGACTGAGTTCAGTAGGCTGGATCAAAGGAGTCAGGGAACTTGTTTCGGAATTTAGAAAGAACTGACCCATGAAACTGAAGCCCTCTCTCAGAGCAAGAACTTTCAACATCTTCTACCTCTGACTTAGCAGAGTTGTTACTGAACTACAGAAAATGTTTCCTAAAAGAACTGGAGGCAGGGAGCTGCATAGCTATAGCCTAACGAGTTTGACATCAGTAGTATGCAAGGCTCTAGAGAATTTGTGAAGGAAAGACTTAATCAACAACTTGAAACTAAGTAGACTGAGTCCTGCGTGCATTCACTGAAGAAGGATCCTGCCTGACTGACCTTTTAGAGGAGAGGTGACACCTTCCCCCATGACACCAGTGGATAGTTTAAAAGTTGGTATAGCTTTCTGTATCTAGACAAACCATGAAAGTAGAGGACTGGAACAACACAGCGAAAAGGGGCTTGTTGAGATCTGCTGTCACCATGGCAGCACAGGCACAGCAAGGCGTCACCAGAAACACCTTCACAGCAAGCCTAGACCTTGCAACCAAAATACCATAGCTGGATATAAAGTAAATATTTTCAAAATTCAGACACTAGAGTCTTCTAAAACTGTGGTTTTCCCATGCATTAGACGAGGCATTAGCCCTGTGTTAGCCCTGTGTTGCTCAAACCAGGACAGAGGGTCATGGAGACTCCCTGATGCTCATGGCACACTGTGGCCACTGTCCCATTGAGGGGACCCCAAGCCGGTCATGAGGAGGGGGCTGGCGCCCAGGGCACAGAAGGGGAGATGGAGGGCAGTCCTGGTGCCCCAGGGGCAGCCTTTCTCTCTGGCAAGCAAAAGGCTGCCCAGAATGGGGCCTTCAGGACCTCATGGGACACTGTCAGAGCCACAGCAGCTTCTGTTGTTGACATCATCAGCCTGTTGTTGCACAGGCAAGCACTGCTGTGGCTGGTCCACAGGTTGCTCATCAGCTGGAGATTCTCACACCAAGCCTGTTTGGTGGAGGAGCCAGTGAACCCAGGGGAGTGCCCACATTGAGTGGGACAAGCAAGAAGAGGTTCATTGGAACCACTGAGGATGTCTGCACATCCCAACAAACAGAAGCCAGATGATGGGGAGAGTAGCACCGACAGCAAGCAAGCCAAGACCATGAAGGTCAACCCGTCACACAACAGCGAGGAGCCAATGGAGGTGGATCCATCTCCCTCAGGACTGATGGGGCACCACACCACCATGGCCAGGGTGCCTCCAGCGCCATGGTGCCCAAAGCACCGCAGGATTGACAGGGCCTCTCAGGGACCCTCGAAACAGCGAGCTCGAACCAAGCGACAACAACGACGACGACGCAGACGACGTTAGCTGCTAGCCATAAGTGGACTATCCACACCGCCATCTGGCAGGCTCACCAGGAAGATCACCCTGTCTGTCAAGCTGCGGATGAGCTCTGCTTTCCTACTCCCCACCCCCGCCCCTCATGAAGAGGTGCCATATCCTCTGCCCTGAGCCCTGGGGAAGAGGCAAGGACATGGGCTGCCATCTGTCCCCGTGTACTTGGTGCTGGTGAGGATGCACCTCGAACACTGTGTTCAGTTTTTGGCCCCTCACTACAAGAAAGGCATTGAGGTGCTGGAGCGTGTTCAAAGGAGGGCAACGAAGCTGATGAGGGGTCTAGAGCACAAGTATAATGAGAAGCAGCTGAGGGAGGTGGGGTTGTTTAGCCTGGAGAAAAGGAGGCTGAGGGCAGACCTCATGGCTCTCTACAGCTACCTGAAAGGAGGCTGTAGCGAGGTGGCTGTTGGTCTCTTTTCCTAAGTAGTATGTCATAGGACAAGAGGAGATGGCCTCACATTGCACCAGGGGAGGTTTAGATTGGATATTAGGAAAAATTTCTTCACCGAATGGGTTGTGAAGCATTGGAACAGGCTGCCAGGGAAGCGATTGAGTCACCATCCCTGGAGGGATTTCCAAGACCTGTAGATGTGGTGCTTAGGGACATGGTTTAGCGGTGGACTTGGCAGTGCTAGGTTAACACCTGGACTCAATGATATTCAAGGTGTTTTCCAACCTACATGATTCTATGATTCTATGAAGCATGCTAGGTGGAGGGGAGGTGGGCAGGGCTGCACATGGGGGCCCAGTCACCTCCGTCTCACAGTGCCACCACTCATAATGCCCCATGGCAGGATAAAGGGGGCATCCTCCCATGTCCCGCAGCCAGCCTGTCCAGCAGGCAGCCCAGAGACATCCAAAAGGAACTCCTTGAGGAGGTGGTGGAATTACTTGGAGGGAGGAAGAATGGAGGCTGGACAAGGGTGCTGGAGGTTTTCACTGTAAGGCTAGCTCTTGGCAGGGCCATGTTTAAAGCCCATCTGATGGATGGCAATCCTGCTGCAGCCCTCAGGGAGGATGCCAGCTACTCAGGAGATGAGAAGAACCACCAAGCCCAGTGTCAAGACCAAGGGAATGCCTTCTGGAGGAGCCCTCGAGGAGCATTGCAGGGTTCTCTATCCTAATCCCCTGTCAAGCCAAGGGCAGCAGCCATTAGAAATAGGATGCAGAGTTGTTGCAAGGTGACTTTCTTGACTCCTGAGGTGGGCCCCAAGGGTGGCCCCCATGGGTTGCTTCTTGTCCTCAGTAGCATTGAGCATTGAGCACAGCCCCTTGTCCGAAGTGATACGTGACGTTGGTGATAGTCCTTTCTTCTCAAAGGCTGAAATAAAAAGACTTAAGAAACACAGGAGAAAAAATAATTATACACTCAGGGTGGGAATGTTTGGGGTTTTTTTTTGGGTGCCAAAATAAGAATTTGTGGGAAAAAAATTTCAGTACCAATAAAAAGAGAGAAAAGCCCCATTCCTGAAGCTTTCCAGTTTGTTCTCAAGAGCACCGTTTTTGTGCATCAGTCAGCTAACCTGCTTTCTTGTTTCTGGCAAAGTTTATTATTTTATTAACCGTAATAATCACGCATCCAGCTCTCCACTTGACGTAGGGGATTTGTGACTTTCTGTGACTCTTGCTTTCCTTTGCAGGCTTTTCAAGCTAATGCTTTTTCAAGCTAAATTGAGGATTACAATAGCCTGCTCCTGGCTCCACATGCGCTGGTGAGCACCTGCTCTGAAACAGATTGAGAAAAAGACAATAAAAACCTGTTACTGTTGTCTTACAGTTAAAATTTTAGCCAGTTTTGTTGGCATTAAAGGTAGTTAGGCTTGTTAACCATTGGCATTAGCTGAACTTTTGATATAGGGTCTTGCATACAAGCAAGCGTTGTATACTTGACGTGATGTTCTCATGGATAATGACGGTTCTATCCTTGAATCTGTAGTGAAAGAACTAATCAAAGAAAGCAAGTATTGTTATCATTCTTGAAGTGAAACATCCTGGAGCATACGAGCATACGGACCCTGAAAATGCTACTAACTTACATGTTTTGAAACTTGGCAGAAAAGTGAAAATTCTGAGTGTCCTAAGCCAAACTACCTTTATTATAATACTAAAAATCACGCCCATAGGTCAAGAAGACCCTGGCCCAGGTGAAGACCTGTCACCTGAGCATGCATAGTAGCTATAACTCGATTGTGTAATCATATGTAAATCACTAACCAATCAAATAGTGATAGGAGGTACTAATATGATAATGGTATTGTAAAATGTGTATATAAACCACGTGGAGAGTCCTGTTTGGTATGTATGATTTGTGGAAATATTCCACCTTGCACCCTGGCCAGAATAAAGCAATGTCTCCTTTCTAAACATAGTCTTTGTGTTTCAGGAGAATCGGAACTTTGACCTTTTTACAGGTAACATTACCCCTCGGAACTATTGTGCTATGTGTCCTTGAAAGTGGTTTTGGAACTGAAAAACCTCTGGCATTTCAGGCAAAGAACGGTCTCATCCTTATTAGACTCATTGGGAGGGAAGGGGAAGGGAGAGGAAAAGAGGGGAAGGGGAAGGGAAGAGGAAAGAGAAGGGGGAAGGCAGGGAAGGGAATGGAAAGGTATTGGCAAGCTTATTTTAGCTGTGCTGGTGTTACCTAAATGGATTTCCTTGCGGGTTTTTTTGTAGTTCATATGTAGGTGCTGGGAAAAAAAAAGTAGCAGAAGTACGTGCTAGCTAACCCCGCTTTTTATTGCCAGCAATTGAGATGTCTTTCAGCTGGGAGCACCAGAAGGACCCCATGTTACAACTCTTGATTCCTTAAATGCAATCTTAATACTATTTACATCTTTGTTTTTACAATTTACAGAACCTATTGGCTTTGGCCATCATATTGTCTGTTACCACTCACTTTTGAGGATTTGTGTATGTGAACCCCCGTGCAAGCACGGTTAATGCATACTGATGAACTGAGTTTACACGATTTTGTTGCAACTTGCTTTTGTAACTCTCTTCAAAAGTCTTTCTTTAAGCAAAGAGTATGGAAATACCTTTCTAATTCCGGGCAAAAGTGGAGAAAACCACTCTTGTTAGTATGTAATTAGTAAAGGCTAAATCAGCATTACCACAGTGCCTGCTGATGCAGATGGTGTGAAAGACAGCTGTGTGAGAAGTGTGGGGAGGTATGAGGAGGAATGAGAGGGAGAGGTTTTGCACATCTTCTGTCTGGTGTGACTGCAAGGTACTTGGGATGAGTTCTATACCCAAGATCTGTCTGTAGTAAGAAAAGAAAAGGGAAAGGAAAAGGGAAAGGACATAGCAAAGCAAGGTGAGGGCCCACATTGAATAGGATGAGCAAGAAGAGGTTTATTGGAACCACTGAGGATGTCTGCACATCCCAACAAACAGAAGTGGGGTGATGGGAGAAGCAGCACCAATGGCAGGTGAGTCAAGCCCATGGATGTTGACCCGCCACAGAATAGCAAGGAGCCATTGGAGGTGGATCCATCTCCTTCAGGGCTGATGGGGCACTACACCACCACAGCCAGGGTGCCTCCAGCACCATGGCTCCCAAAGCGCTGCAGGACTGCCAAGGCCTCCCAGGGACCCTTCAAACAGCCAGTTCCCAACAAGCGGCACCACCCCCACAGCTGACGCTAGCCACTAGCCATAAGCGGACCATCCACATCACCATCCAGCAGTCTCACCAGGAATATCACCCCGTATATCAAGCCACGGATGCGCTCTGCTTTCCCACCCCCACCCCGCCCCTCATGAAGAGGGGCCATCTCCTCTGCCCTGAGCCCTGCGGAAGAGGCAAGGACATGGGCTGCCATTGTCTAGTCAGTACCAGGAGGTGTCCTTTGGAGCCCACTGGAGACTGCTGCAGACCATCAGAGACTGCTGGAGACCATTAGAGACCATCAGAGACCATCAGACATTGCTAGAGACTGCTGGAGACCACCAGACACTGCTGGAGACTGCCAGAGACCACAGGAGACCACTGGAGACCACCAGAGACTGCCACAGCCTGTTGGACAACCCTGGAGTGCCACCGAGGTCATTTGGGCCTGGAGGTAGCATTTTTTCAATCTGAGGATGAGAAAGCCATTGGCAGGTGGCTGTCCTCAGCTAGCTCTTGCCTCAGCTACTGAATGGGTGGGTGAAGATGAAGCCGGACCTGCCATGGCAGTGCACAGAGAGTAGCAACAGATCATCAAAGAAGGTAGATACCACCCTGGAAACATTCAAGACGGACAGACAGCTCGCTCTTTGGAGACGCAGTAGGAAGAAGTTTTGGCATGACTAACCAATAAACAATTAAGAAAAAAAAAACAAACTATAAAACCCAATTAGAAAAAAACAATAAAACCCAAGAAAAGAACAAGAAAAAACAATTTAAACAAAAATAAAATGCTCTCCTCTCCTATTCAGCACTTTTGAGACTGCATGCAGACTCCTGTGACCCATTCTGGTCTCCCCAGGGTGGGAAAGACAAAGACACATGTGGTGCAGGCCCAGCCCAGCACCTTCGGGATGGTGAGGGGCCGAGGCACAGGGCACACAAGCGCAGGTTGAGGGAACTGCCGCTGGGCAGCTGTGAGAAGAGAAGGCTCAGGGCTGGGTCTGACTGCTGATCTGCTAGAACACTGAAATTGTTTTCCTGACCCAATGCCATGTAGAAAATCACCCTGTTTAACTCCCCTGCACACTTCACTAGTGCTAGCTCTGGTATTCAGAACAGCAAAGGAAAGCTTGATTTTCCCCAGCTTGCATCCCTACTCTGTTTGGTAGGATACAAGCCATGGGCTCCTCTCTTCTACCTGCTTCCTGAGTCTTATTGATCAAAGAAGAAGTATGAGTGCATTCAAATGTGAATGTTCTTTGCCAATGTGCACAGAAGTGGCACCACATCTCTAGTTCATGAGATGTGTGAGGAAAAAGCCTCATCTTAATGGTAGGAATAAAACATGGAAGTTGAGCTTTGCTGTGAAAAATGCTTCTACAGAAAAAAAAACCCCAAACCTCTGCGAGCTCTTGAGCTCCTCTGGCTTTTAGGTCTTTAAGCCCACAGCCAGTGGGGAGCGGGCCATGGTGTCAACTACTTTTTTCACACCTTGGTTTCTAATCAACAGCACTATTTGGTTTGCTCCCACGTGGAGCCATGGAGTGGGCTGGCAGGTATCCAGCACAGGTTACTGGAGCCCACGGCTTGCAGCAGACCAGGGAACACGCTAAACTGATAGTCTTGGTGCACCTCAGGGACTTCATACCAAGTTTGCTCAGGACGTAAGTGAAAACATTGGGGCTTTTTGGTTTGGTTTATGGGGGGTTATTTGGTTCAATCAGAACCGTGCAGTCTGGATCAGGTCTTGAGGACAGGGCCTGACTCCTTCTAAATATGTCTGTAGTAAACATTGCAATTCACGTGTGCAGTTCAACACAGGAGGGCTGGGACATGTTTACAGGAGGCGCTGAAGCATGGTACTCCTCAGGAAGAGCATCCAGCTCTGGCTTCAGAACTGAAAGCAACATTACTGCGGCAAATGAGGGACTGCAGAAAGCAAGACCGTATGCACAAAAGGTTGTTCCCGAGCATAAGTAGCTCTACAGGTGTTGAAACTGGCCTAGAAGCACAGGAGCTGCGCTGTGCCTTGTTGGTTTGCTCCTCTCTGTCCCATGCTCCGTCGCACGCTACACGCTGGCAGCAGCATTTCTTCAGGTTTCTCACCGAGCTGCGCAAAAAGAGGCGTCCTCAACATGCAGTGGGAGACGCAAGTACTGCCACGAGCAATGCTGACTGCCAACTTTTACGCTGATCTCTAAGGTGGCCCCACCAAGGTACTCACGGCGTCGGAAACAGCGTTGGAATTTGCTTGGGCCGAGTGGCATGCAACCATGGGCTTCCCTCATCCTTTCCTTCAACAGTTCCCGGCGGTCAGGGAGCGCTCAGGAAGGCAGGAGGTGCGGGCAGAGCCCCAACCTCTGCCGACCGGGGTCCAGGCGTGTGCTCTGCGCTGCAGGGACACCCCGCACCCGGCAGCGCTTACCGTGACTGCGGCTGCACAGCTCTTAGCGAAGGGACTTCTGCTGGTTTTTGGCCGGGGCACGAGTTAATTTTCTTCACGGTAGCTAGCGAGGGGGGCGACGTGCTGGACTTGTGCGGAAAACACAGTAAATCAGGAGTGTTTCCGCCGCTTTCAGCCCGCCCCGGCCCCGCTTTCCCC